TTTAAACAGAAAGGTCACAGAAACAGACTGAAAATGCAAGTTTACTTTAAAGAAAAGAATATTTTAAAGAATATTGTGTCCTTTTCTGACACAAACTGGGCATTGTCATATTCTGGCACTGGGATTCTTTTAATCCTCTTCTTCAGCATTACTCTAATGTTTGATATTAACAATTTGTGATCAATACCACAATCTACTCCTGGTCTTGTTCTGGCAGAGAGAATACAGCTTCCCTGTCTCTTCCTTCTAATTATGTAGTCTATTTGATTTCTATATTGGCTATTTGGTGATGTCCACATGTACAGTTATTTGTTTGGTTGTTTGAAGCATGCATTTGTGATAAACAGATTGTTGCCTTCACGGAACGCTAAGAGACATTCTCCTGCTTTGCTCCTGATCCCTAGGCCAAATTGCCCATCATAAGGTTCCTCTTTCTTTCCTACTTTTGCTTTCCAGTCACCTATGATCATGGGGTCACAAAGAGTCAGGCACGACTTAATGACTAAATAACAACAACAAATGATTGTTTTGGTGTGGGATCAATTTCCTCCTGGATGCTTGCATAAAAGCTTTTGATTTCATTTTCTTCAGCATCTGTAGTTGGAGCATAGACTTGAATGTTGCTAGGTTTTCCCAGAGACTTGAAGGATATTATTCAATCAGACCCTTTCCTTCCTCCCCTAACTGCCTGTGCTACATTTTGCCTCAGTATTAAAGCCATCCCATTTCTTCTGAGTTTGTCATTTCTATAGTAGAACACTTTGTAGTTGTCTGACTGAAAATGTCTCATTCCGGTCCACTTTAGTTCACTGACACCAAGTACTACAATGTTTAAACATTCAGTTTCTTGCTTTATGATCTCCAGTTTACCTTGATTCATACTTCTCATGTTCCATGTTCCAATTGCGTGTGTTGTGCACTGTCTCTTTCACCTCTGTATATTTTAGCCACGTAGAACACTTTGTAGTTGTCTGACTGAAAATGTCTCATTCCGGTCCACTTTAGTTCACTGACACCAAGTACTACAATGTTTAAACATTCAGTTTCTTGCTTTATGATCTCCAGTTTACCTTGATTCATACTTCTCATGTTCCATGTTCCAATTGCGTGTGTTGTGCACTGTCTCTTTCACCTCTGTGTATTTTAGCCACTAGACATATTTTCATCTTTAATCTAGTGTCGTTAGTGACAGACAATATTCCCTCTAAGCTGCCCGTGCACTTGTCCAAAGCTCCATCTGGGTTGCACATGGGCAGCCATTTTTTTTACTTCCCATTTTGAATAAAGCCCCACCCACCCCTGAACACATGGAGCAAGGCTCCCATGCAGCAGGAAAGAAACTTAGAGGGAATGTTGGTGACAGCGCTATAATACTTGTCATTTGCTCCTCCCCAGTAGTTGATTGAGTGCTTTCTGACATAGGAGTCTCATCTTCTGGCACTATCTCTTTCTTCATTTTGGACTGTCTCATCATAGCATTTTCATGGTAACAAAAGTTCAATAGTAGTTTACCATTGCCACCTTCTGCACCATACTAATAAAAGTTAGCTTATAGTTTCACTGAAAGATCTTCTGCTAATGTCATCTTCAACTACTGCTGCTGTCCAGTAACTGCTCTCCACCCTCATCACCATTGGAATTCTCCCTTCTCTTTTGCTGACATGGCCCTGAAGGTCAATTAATCTTAGTCTTGTGCCTCAGTTGTGAACCATCCCATCTTGGCTGACTCTACTAGGAGTGCAGACTCGTAAGGGAGTCTAGCCTCCTAACGCCATTGCTCTTGGCTTCTCTGACACACGCAGAGCCCTTCACCATGTTAAGATCTTAGCCCACTGAAATTAATGGAAGGTGAGTTATTCATGATTAATTTTTTTTACTGTTTTAATAGTTTGGATTAGGGTATGGGATACAGAAGGTAAAAGGGGGTGTAAGGGGGGGAAAGGGGGGGAGGAAAAAATATACTAAAATCCAGTCTAATCATATTGCAATATCAAAATTCAAACTCCGCTTTTTACTATTTTCAGCCTTCCAGATTTTAGTTCACGTTTTGATCTACGTTATTCAAGCACCATCTGGTGACTCTAACCATTTGTAAAATAAGTCCCATCTTTCAGTTGCCTTTTGTATAGGACAGTCCTTCATCACTTCTGATAGAATGTCCATTTCTGCCGCTTCCCTTATTTTCTCAGTAAAGTTCCTCTTGTTCTGGTATCACTGTACTTTTCCAATTTTTGGCATAAAGAATTCTGGCTGCAGTGAATATATATTTAACTAAACAGTTCTTTGCCTTATCTATATTATCTGGTATCATACTCAATAGAAACAGTTCTGGAGTTGATGGAACCTTACAAAGCAATATTTGTTGTAACACAGTATGCACTCCTATCCAATATTGTTTCGCTACTCTACAAGTCCACCACATATGATAATAGCTTCCCACGTGTGCTTCACATTTCCAACAGACATTTGATACATCGGTATAAATCTTTGACAATTTTTCCAGAGTCGTATGCCACCTATAAAACATCTTATATATGTTCTCCTTAAAATTAACTGATTTTGTAAGCTTTATATTATTTTGCCATATTATGATTAAATTAACTCCCATTTATTTCAATGGATCTTCTTTAAGTATGACAAATTCTTATCCAACCTAGGGCGCTCACTCCGTCGCGTGGATTCGATCTTACGACTGCTTGGTCTTCTGACCTTGCAGCACAGGCTTCTGAGGTTTAGCCCACAGCGCCACCACGTCCCACCACCACCAGCGCCACCTATAAAACATCTTATATATGTTCTCCTTAAATTAACTGATTTTGTAAGCTTTATATTATTTTGCCATATTATGATTAAATTAACTCCCATTTATTTCAATGGATCTTCTTTAAGTATGACAAATTCTTATCCAACCTAATTATATCCAACCTAAATATACACACAGTTATTTTTCAGAACAGTAAGGTTATTCATGAAACTTTTCTTGCTTTTTATGATTATCTGGTAGGGAAATGTAGGAAACTACATGGAAATAAAGGAAGTAGTTTGGCATATTCTTCATAGTCTGCTTTTTCAACTGGATTGCCTTCAATGTCTTTAAAAGTACTGTACAGCAAACAGAAATTCAGCTGGTGATATTTTATTCAGACAGTGGTGGGAAGAACTTTGTTTCATGTATTCTCAAAGGCTTTCACAGCTGGTATCTGATGGTTGTTGTGGGTTTTTTCAGGCTCTTTGGCCGTGTTCTGAAGGTTGTTCTTCCTAACGTTTTAGCAGTCTCTGTTACCAGCATCTTCAGAGGACAGGAGTCAGAACCAGAGCACAGGCAGAGCTCTGACTACTGTCCTCTGAAGATGCTGGCCACAGAACTGGTGAAACGTTAGGAAGAACAACCATCAGAACACGGCCAAAGAGCCTGAAAAAGTCACAACAACCATCAGAACTTTGTTTTCTTAATTTCTTAATATTGGACACAGGAACAGAGTTACAAAAGTAAAGGCAATGTTAAGGTTGTTTATAGTCAAGCAAACAGTATGAACATAATTAAAGAACAATCTAGGAAATTGAAGAATCTTGTTAGAATTCTTACTTCCTGAAGTCTGCATAGTGTTCCACCATGGGAAACACAGCAGAAACATGCCACTACCATGACTTCTAACCCTGTGAGCATCAATGTCTCCAGAAGCTCAACTATCTTTTGTTTCTGATTTAGCAAAAACAACTCATCTGCTTCTCTTTCTATTTCAATGTCCAAATTCTTTAATTTCTAGCTCTTTCTCAAGATGGTGTGCAATTTCTTTGTACTCCTGTTCCCTTTAAGTATCTACAATTAAATCATCTATATAAGCAACGATAAAGGTTTATTTCTGCTTCTGGTATACAAGCACTGCTCTGTAGCATGCCTCCACTCTGGGCGCTCCCACTCAGAAAGAGCAGGCGGTTGTGTGGTAGAGCGGCTATAGTGAGGAGTCTGTCTTGCTTGCAGGTCTCTTAACACATAGTTACACTTACATGAAACAATTAACATTCATTATTTAGTTTTTGCTTAACATTCAAATGCAGCTCCATGGGTGTTATGAGTAATTTCTAAACTATGATCAATATTGCCTTTCCAAGTTTCCAGAAGATTCATGGTGCAGAAACTAAAAAGTTCGTGTGTTCAGCTTTTATTTTCGTACCTGGTACATATAGAAAGATTTGCTACAGGGAGATCCCTGTCGAATCTTAAAATCCATGAAAAGCTTAATAGATGCAAAGAATCATTCAAAGGGAGCAGCAACACTTTATTGTCAACTGTATCAAAGGGCATAGATACTTCTAAAAGGATCAGTAGGAGTGCAGATTTCCATTGATGATAACTTATCAGCATGCAATTCTGCAAAGTTGGTTTGATTAATCACCTTACAGACATTCATTTCTATAGCAGCCACAAAGAAAAGGACTGGTGGTCATTATGCTTCCAGAAACGCCTGAATCTGAAAGTCTACTAAAGCTGAAAAACAGTTAACTAACTGACCATTTTTCCTTGAGTGCACCCTTAGCTATCTTGCTTCCCTTTTTTTAATTCCAGCCTATCTGTTCCCTCTTGTTATACAGTTTCAGCTTCTGTGTGAGACCAAATGTTCTAGAATTCAGGGCTTTCACAGTCATTGATGCCTAAAATTACAAAAGTCTCAACTGACTGTGGAGAATAATCTAGAGAGCATGCCTGTCTCGTCAGATCTGAGCTGCAGCATGGTCTGTTTCAATGACGCGCAGTGAATGAACATTATTTTACTAGAGAAGGAAACACGGAACATACTGAAGGATAGTATTCAGCATGCAATTCTGTGAGAAAAGGACATTTCTAAATATCTTGCATATCAATTAATATTCCATCATGTAGTTATCAGCAAGAGATTAGCATGATCAGCTATTCAAGTACAGATCAATTAACAAGTCCATTCTCATGACCAGAAACAAGCATAAAGGTATCAGCTAATAAAATCATCATCAGAAAGATATAGAGACTATATTGATTTAGTATTGGATCCCAGTGTTTCAGCTCTGAACAACTGCTTTTTCATATTACAGTGACACAGTCAGATCAGTATTTAAACTGTGACAATACATTATCAAATCCAGAGTTCTACGACAATAATCCTTGGTTGTCTGACAAAGGACGTGACATGCTCTGGAATGCCCAATGCAATATCCCATCAAAGGAATTCTGGAGGGGAAAGAAAGACATTTCTATTTTTCTACCTGTGCTTGAATATAATAAGAAGACACAGCATGGAAATGGGGCAGACAATATAGGCAACAGGCAAAGACAAAGATGATCTTATTTTTTAAAGGACTGAATTCATTAACTCTGAGAAAATACTATCTAGACATAATTATTTTCTGCCATCCTCCCCAAAAACCCTCTTAATATCACTGTTTTCTATGAATGCCAAGTAATGACATTTAGAGGCCTCTAGATGGCACTCATTTTGCATCATTCTTTACAGCTAAAGAATGTTGTTCAATAAACAAGAGTTGACAGTGCTTCTGAAATGCTTTGCCATTCATAAAACATGAAAGGTTTTGGTTTTCACAGATTTAACAAACATTCAGCACATCATCAACGTCCCTCTCTTTCCTCCATTAGCAACTCTCCATGCAGAAATGAAAGAGGCTTGAACAGAAATAAACAGCAGTCCCATTAGAGTCAGTTCATTCTTTAGCACAATGGAATATTACTAATTGAGAATTATGGATGCTGTCTGTATCAATGTCCACAATCTTAAATGGAAGAAAAGTTCTGAACTGGACAAAATTCCAGGTGTCAAAACACAGACATTTGGGGAGAACTGGGAGGGAAGCAAAAATGTTCCCCATAAATTCCTAGGGATAGCATAGTCTACCACATCTGAAGGCAGCAGACTAGCTTACAGAGTATAGGGCAATCATGTAGTACACCAACTCCTTGTCACCTATAAGCGTCTGTTGTCTGAGGTGCTAGCTTACAGAGTATAGGGCAATCATGTAGTACACCAACTCCTTGTTGTCACCTATAAGCATCTGTTGCCTGAGGTAATCTTATTCTGGCAGGCCAGGCCTCTGTGGGAGCTTCTGTTATGTTAATGGATGTGGTAAATACAGTATGTGGTCATGTTACGACTAGAGTGAAATGTGTTGAAAATTATCAGAAGCAACCCAGCTTCTCTATGAGGACTGTAATTTCCAGAACCTATAAAACTGTTAAGTAATGTACTACATCATAAAATCACAGGGATACAATAAGGCAAAACCAAAAGAAAAATAAAAAGAAGTGGACTTGTCCATGAAAGCTCCATTAAAATATAGCAGTTTGTCTTTAAAGTGCCACCATGTTTTTGACACCTTTATTTTTCTTTTGGCTTTACGTGATATGCAAGCACAGACTAACACAACCACCTCTTCAAAAACTACAACTAAGGGATATATTACCTCCCCTAGAAGAGAATCCAGTGCATCTTTGTTCAGAATAGGTTCAGTCCCAGTAGAGTCTTCCATGACCTAGGATTTAAAATAGAATCTTATAGAGCTATCCTATGTATTTTCTACTCAGAAATAAGTCGAATTTAATGAGACTTTTAAACCCAGCTTCAAGTTCAGCCTCAGGAACTGAATTACCAATGAATCACATTAGAGGTGGGAAACTGTGGCCTTCTAGATTTTTTCAACTGCAGCTCCCCTCACTTCTCACCACTGGCAATGCTGGCAAGGATTGCTGGCTGCTGGGAGTTGCAAGTGGAGGACACTTGGAGGGTCACAGTTGCTCCTGATGTAAATGCTGGCAAATGCAGTCAGCTAGGAAAAGTTCATTTCGGTTGGGATGATGTAGCTTGCACTTAAGGGGAAAACAACACTTTTCCAGAGAAATGGAGCTCTGTGAGGGCCCTCACTTGTTCATCCAACTACAGCTTTCATTTCTAGGTGCTGTGCTTTTTGGGAAAGGGTTCTACATGTTGGAAGTAGAAAGAAGCCAAATAGGTACTGACTGGCTAGCTGCCAGTGAAGTCATTAAGAACTCATCCTTGTTGCCAGCAGAATTTTTACAGAAAAATATAGTATAAATTAATTGGTACATGAGTGAATGTGAAATTGATGTTAATGTTGAAAGAGGTGAGCAAGGGTCATTGTGAAGGTATTGTTTGTACTGCAGTTCCCATCTGTCTTAGCCAATATAGCCAATAGTGATGAATATTAGGGGTTACACTCTAGCAATATCCAGTCAGCTGTATTTTGCCCACCCTTGATGTAGATACTAGACTAGTACAAGCATGATATGATCTTGCTGTTATATTCAACAGAGAAACAGCAATATCGTGTTCAGCTTGCAAACACTAGAACTCGCTTTGCCATGTGATCAAAAGCAACTGTCGCCTTCGCTGCTGATACCAGTGCTACTGCCTGTCTCTTCAATATGGGCCATATTGAGGGAAGAATTTGCAATGGAGTCGAAAGAAAGGTGGTAAAAACTGTTGTTAATAACCATGCTTTTACAACAGGCTGGAACAAGTTGCGTTCTGTGGATTTCACTGTACAAAAAGTTGGTGGGGGAGATGCCATGTTTCACCACTCATAAAATTGGGAATTGCACATAAACCAGTGGTTCCCAAATTTGAGATCTCAGAAAGTTTTTGACTTTAACTCCCCAAACTGTAGCCAGTATGACCAGTATTTTGTATTGTTTGTATTTTTAGTGGGGACTTTTAGTGGGTGGGGAGTGTTGGGGGATTTTTTAGTGGGTGGGGAATGTTTGGGGAATTTTATGTGTGTGCATGTGTCTGGTCTCTGGGTGTCTGTGAATTTCATTGTATGGGTATACTGTGTATATACTTACAATGACAAATAAATAAATAAATAATAAAATAAAATATTTAGGGAAATGCAGAAATGTAGCCCAAGAATAGTTGGGGACCCAGATTTTGGTCATCACTGACATGGATCAGCTGTGGCTCTCCCAGAGTTGCTGGGTTGTCTTTCATTTTTACACACTGACCACAAACAACACTGGAAAAATTACAGAGATGCTGACCTTTACTGTTCGTAAGGCTGGAGCATTCAAGTTTGGTGTTCCTTCCAAGCTCACAGTTACAGGGTTGCCAGAGCAGGACTTGCACATCAAGATTCCACTGGAACACAGAATAACGAAGATGAAAAGTGCTCCTTGAAGAGGTATGCATATGTTTCACAAGCTACATGGAAGAGGTTAAATCTGGTCAGGACCACCTGAGTCAGTGGGAGAGGGAGACTCTTTGTGAAGAGCATTCAATTTCTCTTTTTTTTCTGGCAGATTTTCTGTAAAAAGGGATCTCCTGTCTGTCTCGAATATTCAATTATGTGAGCTCCACCTGCTGTCTAAAGTGGTACAGACTCTTGACACATATAGCCCCTCAGTTGTTTTATGTAAAAAATAGCCTTAAGACAGTGGAGAGGCAGTGGTGCAGTGGGGTCTTGACTTAAGAACGGCTCGAGTTAAGAACATTTTGACTTACAAACCACTCTCATAGGAAAATATTGACTTGACTTAAGTACTTAGATTTGAGTTAAGAACTGAAAAAAACCCACGTGGGAGGCAGGGAAAGTGCAAAATGTGAACTTTCAGTTAACTGTTGGCCAGTGAAAAGGGTGCCTGTCTGCTTCCTCACTCCTCCCAGCGTCTAGAGAGTGGATTGGGAGACAGTCTTCAGACTGCCTGGACTGTATTTTCCCTGCCTTCCCTGAACCTTTCTTGACCTAAGAAAAAAAGAAACAAAATATCCACCTCTAGTGGTCGAAGGCGGAATAGCAGCTTCCCATTAGTGTCTATGGACGGAAAAGAGCAGATACGGATCAAATGGTTTTCAATGCATTCCTATGGGAAATGCAGAGTTGACCTGAGAACTGTTTGACTTGAGAACGCCTTCCAATATGGATTAAGTTCTCAAGTCAAGACCCCACTGTATTTGTGCATCCATATGAATTAAAATTTACTTTCAGCTGCCCAGTTGTATCAAACATTTGTTTTAGCAGATATCAAATTCACCATGCTACTGAGACCGGCTTCCACTTATATGGAGCAGCACTGCAAGTAGAGAGTTAAACACCCACACCCACCCACCCCACACAGAGGAATATCAGTTCTATTGGTTGTTGGAAGACAGCTGGCCTGAGTGCACACTGTGGGCTTCAGGGCATGTGGCTTTGTTGCAAAATGCAAGAACAGCTCTGTAAAATGCTGGGTTTGTCACTTCTGAGATCAAACACTTGTCTTAAACTCCTTCCTGGAATTATGGAATAATAGATTATCTTCAGACAAAGTTTCAGTGGATTAGCTACACTGATTTAACACATTTGGGTCAAACCATAAGCAGGCCAGTCCCCTTGCTTATCTTCCTAGGTTGCAGCAAAATTCAAAAGGACAACATTTACACAAACTCCCATTCTAAGTGGCCCCTCTTTTTTATAGCGCCTATCTCACATTCGCCTTTAGTACTATGACCTAAACTGGTGGCAGCTGATTCCCATTGTGTTTAGCAGATTGGGGAAAGGCAGGGACACACTTATATATCAGAGAAGTGAGTACACCCTCTCTCATTTCATAAATATTTTAGTATTTCTTTTCATGTGACCATACTGAAGAAATGACACTTGGCTACAATTTAAACACACAGCCATTAATGGCTAAACCACTGGCAACAAAAGTGAGTACACCCCAAGTGACAATGTCCAAATTGGGCACAAAGTGTCAATATTTTGTGTGGCCACCATTATTTTCCAGCACTGCCTTAACCCTGTTGGGCATATAGTTCACCAGCACTTCACAGGTTGCCACTGGAATCCTCTTCCACTCCTCCATGACAACATCACAGAGTTGGCGGATGTTAGAGACCTTGTGCACCTCCACTTTCCGTTTCAGGATGCCCCACAGATGCTCAATAGGGTTTAGGTCTGGAGACATGCTTGGCCAGTCCATCACCTTTACCCTCAGCTTCTTTAGCAAGGCAGTGGTCGTTTTGGATGTGTGTTTGGGGCCATTATCATGTTGGAATACTGCCCTGCGGCCCAGTCTCCAAATGGAGGGGATCATGGTCTGCTTCAGTATGTCACAGTACATGTTGGCATTCATGGTTCCCTCAATTAACTGTAGCTCCTCAGTGCCGGCAGCACTCATGCAGTCCCAGACCAGGACACTCCCACCACCATGCTTGACTGTAGGCACAACACACTTGTCTTTGTACTCCTCACCTGGTTGTCACCACACACGCTTGACACCATCTGAAACAAATAAATTTATCTTGGTCTCACCGGACCACAGGCCATGGTTCCAGAAATCCATGTCCTTAATCTGCTTGTCTGCAGCAAACCGTGTGCAGGCTTTCTTGTGCATCATCTTTAGAAGAGGCTTCCTTCTGGGACGACAGCCCGGGAGACCAGTTTGATGCAGAGTGCGGCGTATGGTCTGAGCGCTGACAGGCTGACCTGACACCCCACCCCTTCAACCTCTGCAGCAATGCTGGCAGCACTCATACATCCATTTCCCAAAGCCAACCTCTGGATATGACACTGAGCACAGGCACTCAACTTCTCTGGTCAATCATGGCGAGGCCTGTTCTGAGTGGCACCTGTCCTGTTAAACTGCTGTATGGTATTGGCCAACATGCTGCAGCTCAGTTCTGGCAATCTTCTTATAGCCTAGGGAGGCCATCTTTATGTATAGCAACAATTCATTTTTTCAGATCCTCAGATAGTTCATTACCATTAAGTGCCATGTGGAACTTCAAGTGACCAGTCTGAGAGAGTGTGAGCAATAACACCTGCTCCCCCTTCACACCTGAGACTTGTGACACTAACAGGTCTCATGACACCAGGGAGGGGAAATGGCTATTGTGCCTAGTTTGGACATTGTCATTTAGGGGTGTATTCAGTTTTGTTGCCAGCGGTTTAGACATGAATGGCTGTGTGTTGCATTATTTTGAGGGGACAGCACATTTACACTGTTATACAAACTGTATACTCACTGCTTTACATTGTAGCCAAGTATCATTTCTTCAGGGTTGTCACACGAAAAGATATGTTAAAATATTTATCAAATATGAGTGGATGTACTCACTTCTGTGATACACTGTACATACACACAGCCAAGCATTCTTGTTCTCTCTCTCTCTCTCTCTCTCTCTCTCTCTCTCTCTCTCTCTCTCTCACACACACACACACACACACACACACACACACACACACACACACACACACACACACACACACACACACACACACACACACACACAGAGAGAGAGAGAGAGAGAGAGAGAGAGATTCAGACCCTTTGGCTCTGGTAGGGAAGCAAGTATGAGTGGGATAGTAGGGGGCTGCTGAGCTACTGCAACACTCTGTTGTCCCAATGGATCTGTCACCACTGATTAGTGATTAGCTTCTTCGATATAACTGACACCTGATTTGATCTGCATGGGCAGGAAAATGGCAGAGCCAGTGGAAAGCCCTGAAACATTTATTGCAGTAGATCATGTCTCCTCCTTTCTGGCATACACCACACTTGTCACCATCTGTCCGTTTCTGAAAAGAATAAAATTTGAAATCAGTTTCTCGGAAGACATGTCCTATTTTAACCCTCCAGAGTTGCCCTGCATTGCCTGTGTCTTCTTTTCTAACTTTATGTTTATCTGGTTCACTGTTATTTATTAACTACTGGCAGACAGGGTAATAGGGAACATATCATTTATCTATCCTTACACTTATTCAGGAATTACATTTGTTTTCTGCTTTTTCTCCCCTAAGCTCAAGCTGGCAGACATGGCTAGTGTTCTTTTCCCCAGCATATCTTCAGGCTGTATGTAACTGGCCAGCTCAAGATCACATAAGGTAAAGGTAAAGGTTCTCCTTGACAATTTTTGTCCAGTCGTGTTCGACTCTAGGGGGCGGTGCTCATCCCCGTTTCCAAGCCATAGAGCCAGCGTTTTGTCCGAAGACAATCTTCCGTGGTCACATGGCCAGTGCGACTTAGACACAGAACGCTGTTACATTCCCCCCTAGGTGGTCCCTATTTATCTACTTGCATTTGCATGCTTTCGAACCGCTAGGTTGGCGGGAGCTGGGACAAGCGACGGGAGCTCACTCTGTCGCGTGGATTCGATCTTACGACTGCTGGTCTTCTGACCCTGAAGCACAGGCTTCTGCGGTTTAGCCCAAGATCACATAGTGGCATTCAAAGTTTAGAGGCAATGGCAATGATGTGACTCTGATCTTCTAAGTTCCAGTCCAGCACTCTAGCCACTATATTACCCTGGCATCATCTGGCAGTATTTCCCCTCTTCCCCCTGTTCTACCCATCCCTTATTGTGATTCTGATCATCAGCACTGAAGGCTGCAAAGATCAAACATAAATGGCAATTGACCAATGAAAAACGGGAACCAACCATCAAAAGAGCTAAGAGCTACTTCACACAGACCTATTTTCTTGCATGGGTAAAATTTCCTTGTAGGAATCGATATACACTCTATATGTCCCTTCATTCATCCCCCAGATCACCATTTTGGCTATTGCAGACATACATTTTGTGTAACTGTCACAAGAGAGCTAAATGTTGTTGCTTATTTTACTCTCAGAAAATACTGAGAGAGTCAGGGCTTCTCCATGGATACCCAACAAAATAAATGCATGCATTTCATCACATGTGACTATATATACAGGTCATAAAATAAATGCATGCATTTTCATCACACATGACTATATATATACAGGACATACAGAAATTTCTTACATTTTTATGGGTGTCCCAGTCAAACTTGTGAGACAGAGACTCAAGGAGGGAACCTGAAATCTAAATAAAACTTGGACTAGAAGAAATGTTGTAGATTCTAATATGCTAGAATTGCTAGAAATCACAGGAAAACATGATCTGCAATTCTAAACATTGAACACTCTGTAGATTCCTGTTGTCCCAAACACAAAAGCTATGACTGAATGTCACCAACTTTGGTCATCAATCTTTGTTACGTCTGAGATCAGGGCTAGGGTGCCTATGGGCCTCCAAATGTTGTTGGATTACAAGATCTATCATGCCTGAGCCCTGGCCATTTGGTGAGGGCTGATGAGACTTGAAGTCTAACAGCATCAAGAGGGCCACTGTGCCTCTAACCCTGTTGCAGATTAAGCTCAAGCAACATTTTCCTTCTGGTGATTCTTCATATTGTGCTATAAATTTATTACCTGCCACATGCAAGCCCCTGCAAGAGAGAGGAAAGGCAACACCTTGCTTTACCACCTCCCACTGATTGAAAGCCCATTGACGCATGTGGAAAATCCTATGGGAAAGTGGGCTACTGACCTGCTGTTTCTCCATTCCCACGCTCTGTGTTGCTGCTGGTATTGCCACAGGCACTGGAGACAGGGAAGGCAGAGGCTGTCTGAAGGAAGTGCACACAGGTTCTTTGATGAGAACTCTCCTTCCATCTTCAGTTGTCCTCTGAATGTAAACAGCACCCTGATCAGGTATGAGAATGAGAGATCAGTGCTATTCCAGTGATACTGAAAATAACCACAAAATTCTGAAGACACCATATGTTTCAGCTACAGTATTTGACAGTCATGTCAAATAGCCATTTTAGGGCAAGGGGGGCACCTCTAGAGATATGTCATTTTTGCAGTTGTTTAAGCTCTTTAAAGACCAAAGAGCTAGACTGCATCTCTGAGCAAAATTCTGTCCTTATGAAAGAAAGATGAAGACAAAGAGCAGATGGTATTTTACTGGCTGAAACGAAGCAGTACGTGCTGCCCTGGTGTCCACATACAGCTCTGTTACTGACTGGCAACTGAATCCTATTTTAACTGTGGTGATGGGAACTGGCTCCACCACGTCTGAAGGCAGCAGACTAGGAGGCACAGAACAACTTTTATGACACATACAATTGTGTCCTCCAACACCCAGCTGTGGCCTCTGACCTTCAGCATCTGGTGCCTGAGGCTGTGCTGCCTCTGCTTAATGGATGAGCAGCAAACAGCCTTAGGCCAGGGGAATTCTCATCCATTCTTGACAGCCCAGAGTGAGAACCCATCCCCATTACAGTTAACATATAAAACACAATCTTCCCTTAACCAAGGTGGACTTGTTTGATATTTAGACATTTTTAAACAATGGTCAAATCACACATTAAGTCAAATGCTTATTCCCCCCCATTACAACATTATCTCTCCATGCAAGGAAATCTTTCGTTTCATAGCTGGGTGCCTGAGACATCAAGAATGCAAACCGCATTATCTCCCACTTGACCAATAACAAAATAAAAGGAAGCTAATTTGCCAAATGCAGACTGAAACAATAAATGATCAGTCTTTTCCTCCGAGGGTGCACTGCTTCCACTGCTGTAGAATCAGTATCTAGTCTAGACAGGCCTTAAATGTTTTGTTTCAAAATTGAAATTAAATTTCCGTTTGGTTTGAGGCAGCTTTTGAGGCAGCTCCATCAGTGCTGGAAATTTGGCCTCTTGGAGGTTGCCCATCCAAAACTATCCCTAATGACTCTGAAAAGAGTTCTGCCACAAGTAAACCTTGAAATAAATACATAAACAAACAGGGAACCCATTTGAAGTGCTTCCTACAGTACTTTTGCTTACATGAGAGAGGAAGAGAGATACATGAATAGACAGTGAGTTACTAGGTTCTGGAATGTTAAAAAATCATTCAGTTGTACCTGAGCTTGAGAAAGTGGCTCTGTGTTGCTCTGTTCTTCATTACGTTTGTCTTGTTTCGCCTTTCCTGGTGAACAGGAACCACACCTCCATGTTCCACTGCCCAGAAACCCAAATAGAATAACAAAACATAATAACATGCAGAGGCTAGGGAGGGAGAAAGACCATTGAGAAGTATAATTCTGAACTTCTGGAAGTGCAGAAGAAAAATTTAGCCACATGAATGAGTCACTGCACTAAGGCTTCCCCACTTGGCTTGATCAGTATCTCTTGCACACTACAAATCTGGTAAGAAAGTTATTGTTGCCCACACTCTGAAAGATTCACACATTGCAAAAGCATTATAGGATCATATCCTGTGAAAAGAGCTCCTGTCAGTAGAAGAGTGTGTGCTAAACTGAACTAAAAAAATATTCGTAATCAACAGGACAGATAAGAGATAAATTCTGAGATCAATAAAATTCTGCACTTCTACTACTGCTGAAATTAATGGCATTATGACTATAGCAGAGACCACATTACCAAATGTTGTTGAAAATACTATGGGTTTGGAGTGGGCTGATTTGTATTTATTTTCATTGATCGGATGATGCAATGTGAAATACCTGGAGCCCCCTTCCTCAATCAGTAACTTTTCCTCTACACCAGAGAACCTCCTGCTTTTCAAAATTTCAAATCCTTTCAGATTGATTCAAGCATGTGAACCAATGCAGAAAAGGAGGATAAGGGGTGTGTGCACACACTCAAAGCACCTTCCCACCTTCCCCTCCAGCTTGTGCCTCTTAACTCATTAAAGTAACAAGCACACACAGGGCAGCACCAGCACACACTTTTGCCTAACAAAACTTCTCTCTCAAGTCTCTTCTGATTTTTAATTTTAAGCCTTTCCTCCTGGGCAACACTTAGGTTTGTTGTTGTTGTTGTTGGTGGTGGCGGTGGCGGTGGCGATGACGATGACGATGACAATGACAATGATGATTATGATAATAATAATAATAGTTTAACAGCTTTACAATGCAAAACCTCAATGCAAAACTAAAAACAACACGCCACAAAATAACATAAGAAGTTACACCCCCCAAAAAACAGCAATAAACAAGTAACTACAAGCAACAAGTCATAGATTACTTTTTAAGCAATCGTTCCAAGCCTTGTGCAATGCACATGCTTTTGTTACATGTTATATTTTATGTATGTTTAATAGATGACAGTGGGAATTCCTGTAATCAGCTGAGGAAGTAACTGCAGTGAGTACGAAGTGGGGGGGGGAACACCCTGAATTTCCCCACCTCCCAGTTAAATAGATGATTCCCGGTGGACCAACACTCATTCACAGAATTGTCATTACCTGGGAATTTCTGTCAGTGGTGGGACAAGGCAGGCAAGATGAAAAGCCCTGGGGCATCCATCACAGCAGATCAACTCTCCACCATCCCGGCAGACTGCGCATTCATCATCATTCTTCTGGCCCAGCAAACCGTGGAAGAATTAAAGCAAAAAGAACACACAGTTTTCAGCCAGTTTCTGTCCATATAGCTAAAGGATACAACACCAAAAGTGCCTTCCACCCAGACCTGCGTTCTCTACCATTAGTTCCACTTACAAAAACACCTAAAATTCACTGTGCTCTACATACAGAGTAAACAAACAAAACAAACAAAGCCACCCATGACCACAGTCTAATAGATAAAATACAGGTAGACAATCTCATGGCTGAAATACAAATAGAAAAGGGGACAGGGATGGGTATGAGGAGGAAAGAGAGAAGCAAACCAATCAGCTGTTGTAGCTGAACAGTGTCAGGTACAGATAATACACACAACCTGGCAGCCTTTAGTCCTCTGGTCAATGGCACCGGTTTCTCTGCTTATCCAGGATGCCAAATGTGCTAAATGCCCAGCACCCTCTGGTCACTGTTAGCTGCATATTGAGGGACATACCCCATTTCTATGAATACTGAGACTGGGTTGGTTCAAACCCCAGCCAAGATTTAATAGGATAGTTATCTATGTATCTGCCCTCTTCACCCAGGGGTGGGTAGTGCCACATCAAGAAGAAAGCAGCTAGTAAAAGAGATGCTGCATAAATAATAGCTAAACAGCTCTGGCAAATTTTATAGCTGACCCTGTAGCCCCACACTTATTAAAGTTCCTTAGAAACAGTGCCATGAAAAAGGAGGACCCAGGTTACAACATTCCATCTTGCTACAATGGCTTTTGTTTGGGTTAAGTCAGTGGTTCTTAACCTTTCTTACTCAGGTGTTTTTGAACTGCAACTCCCAGAAACCCCAGCCAGCAGAGCTGATGGTGAAGGCTTCTGGGAGTTGCATTCCAAAAACATCTGAGTAACAAAGGTTAAGAACCAGTGGGTTAAGTAATGCCTTTGAACCTTAGTTGCAGAAGGCAATTCTGAGCCAATGGAAACGAATTAGCTTGTTGCCCAGACTCATGAGGTGCCCATATAGGGGAATCCACTGTGACTGGTTATGGTTAACCTCATCAGTTATGGTTCTTAAAAACTTGGGCACAGACCTAGGGCTTATAGTAGCATCTTCCCCTGTACCTGAAACTCTGCAGACCACACCTGGCTAAATGGCCTAAAGACCTAGTCTCTTTCCAAGCCAAGTCACAGTCTGGGAATTGGCACATCTTGACATGCAGGTTGAGAATCTGCAGAATAGGAACACTGAAATAAGAAGCACTGGAGAGCTCATTAGGAGATTAGTTATTCTTATAACATCGATAATTTGTGCCTGCATATTTTTGTTTTGTTTTCCTTTTACTCTCTTTTTAATTTGTGTCATGCCTTTTTTGTAGTGTAGACTTGCAGCAGAGATTTCGATTTCTCTCTCTCTCTCTCTCTCTCTCTCTGTCTCTCTCTCTCTTTTAATGTAAGCCAGTCAGAAATTCTCTAGGTATAAAGAGCTTGATATAAATAAAAGGATGAGAATTCTTTTGGAAATTTATGCTGACATAAAGTGTAATTGCATAAAATACAGTGACAAATTATCACTAATTAACAAGTTGCTGCTTGCATTACGGGTCCTGTGTCAGTTGTGCAACTTAGCACATGACCAAGATGCAAATGGCAACTCATTAATTAGCAGTAATTCACTGCTGAAACCTAGATAATTCCAGTTATAATTCTTAGATGCTTAAATTTCAAATTCTGGTCATTCTTGCAACAGAATCTGACACCATATGATTGCTACCCTTTAATCACTTCCTATATGAAACAGAACATACATTATTTTCTACATTTTTATTTATTTGCTCATGAGACAGTTTTGATAGGCTGTTTATATGACATACACTGGCCATAAGGATTGAGTTTTTGTAAGCCTTGCTAATTTGCTGTATTTAGAAACAAGGGCTGAAACCAAAAACCTACTAAGCAAAGTATTCACCAGTAAAGTCTGAGGTATAAAATGGATCAGAGTTATGAATTGTTATAACTGCTTTGAAATATCCGGGAAATTCCATTTTTCTAGCAGTAGCATAAGACCTGTCAAGGAAAAAAATGGTTTGCCTGATCCAGCCCTTCCCACTGATGAATCTGGCACCAATTTAAGTGGTTAAGGAAACCTGGGACTTCCCAAGTGAGGAGGAACTTTCAGCAACGGACAAACATATGCTTTGGCTTAAGTGACAAGAAAAGGAAAACTGCTGAGCTCAAGTACAAGGTTTCAGTAATAAGGTTAGCTCTCCTCTCAACATGCTGCACCGTTGTGCCCACCCTCTCATGACATTTACAATGCATTTTCACTACACTACAGTAAGAGGACGAATGAGAAATAACAAAGCAAATGAATGAAGACCAAATAAACCATATGAAATGTAGAAAGTCAGAACTGGTCACATAATGAAAAATTAAAAGTCCAGATAATGACAGCTGATCACTCAAGCTAAAGAATTTAGAAAATAATTAATTGACTGAAGAACCTTGGAAGCTGGTTTGGATATAGCGCAATATCATTGTTTAGAGCTGCCATATTTGAAGTCAGGACAGCCATGACACCATCCATACTCTAGCAGAAGAGGAGCAATAAGAGGGAGAAAAAGAGGAGGAAGAAAAAGAAAATCATAACAGTGTATATATATATTTTTCCTATTAATATGTTCCTTCTCGTTTTTTTAAAGGTCAGTGTAAGTCTATTTTGAAAATGCCCAGCTATTAAGAATTAAATTATCAAACTCATGAAGATGGACTTATTGGAATTGGACTGCAAAGAGCATGGTTCAAATCCCCACTCAGCCATGAAGCTCACTGCATTTTAGGCCAGTTAACCTGATTTACTTCCTGGGCAAAGTTAATCCTATCTATGTAACTCTAACTCCTTCTAGGAAAGGTAGATCCCAAATATGATAGATCATATAAGAAAATATTATTGTTGAGCATAAAGGTGAAGAATGTGTATTACTAAAACAAGAAACATTTCACCACAGAACATCCCCAAGAGAGGGAACCATACAAAAAGCAGACCAGAGAGAAAGTAAAGTAAAATACTTAAGAATTCTGATGGATAGGATATTATTCTTGCTACCTGCTGCAGAGCTAAATCCCCAGTGTGAAGAGATGTAGTGCATCTTCCTTCCTGCAAGTTTGCTTGTTGATGCCCATTCTGAAAATGATATAGGCCAAGATGTATAAATGAACATGCTAACTAAGACTTCAGTCAAAAACACTTTAAGGCAGGGGTGAGTAACTATGATTCCCTGCCCCCACAGATGTTTTTGGCTTACATCTATCAGCTTTAGCCTACATAGCTTGTGGTGATGGAATATGGAACTTATAGTCCTACAACTTCAGGAGAATCACAACTGCCCACCCACCAGACACTGTGGGAGACTAACTGTGGGATTGCTCAGTGGTTTAGGCATCTGACTAAGGAGCCAGAGGTTGAGAGTTTAATTCCCCACTGTGTCTCCTTGACAGGGACTTGATGATCTATAGGGTCCCTTCCCACTTTGCAGTTCTAAGATCTAAGATTAATTCTTAGGACTGTATAGGATTGCACTCTTATCTAAGAGCCACAATGCTCTGACATAGGAAAGAACTGTGCGGTTGCCACAAGCTTGCCAGTAGCTGGAACTTGGTGTGCTACAAATAAGCCAGCACAGCATACAACATTCTTTATTACAAAAGGACCCTAAAAGTGAGAATGGACTCTAAGGGTAACATACATATTCAGGAACCTGCGATTCTCTGACTTTTGTGCTTGTCTTCATTTCACAAGCTTTGGTTTTCTCTTCGGGCTCTTTCAGTTTGCTTGATGTATACAATTCGCCACCGACTTTGATATATTTCTTAATATCATCTGAAAAAAGCAAAATGACATTGGCTTTACATACAATCAGAACTGGGATTTAATATTGCTCTTGTTCTAATATAGCAGATTTGTTTTAGCTATATATTAAATGTTCCTTGTCAATATATCTCATAGAGATTTAATGCAATAGTGTGGGAAAGTAGAGGTACAGAATATAAAACATTATAGGTGTAGCTATCACTACAGTACAATGAATAGCATATTGGATATGAATGTGGTAGACCTGAGTTTGAATCTCTACACATCCATAAAGGTTGCTTGGTGGCACTGCCAAATTATTCTCTCTCAGAATAACTCAAGCCTCAGGATCTTTGGTAAAATAAGATTTTATACACTGAGCAATTCTATAATCATACTAAATAACAAAGAATAGATTTTTGTAATATTTGAGTGAGATGTACATCGGGCAACAGGAGGAGAATAGTTCTGGGCAGACGAGGGAATCAACACATAGAAAAAATTATGCCTACCATTTGAAACAAGGAAATGCTGAATTTCAACATTTTCTGATTTCTTCACAGTTTTTGGCTTTGGAAGGTATCCTGTTGGTTTGTAGGACAAAGTTACAACGTTTAAAACATTATACATCTTTTTTTCAAAATGAATACAGCTTACATATTCTGTTTAGATAACTAAAATGGTCTGGACTGTTGTCAAAAGTGGACGCACCATTTGCATACAAATGTTAATAAAAATTAAAATAAATGTTGGATGACACATGCATAGAAACAGGGATTCCTTTTCAAAAGAAGAAAATGCATTGGGCTGGCATTAAGATTGAATTCTCTCTCAGAGGCTTTTGTTTTGTCTGTGCTTTTGTGGGGTGGGGAATGTCTGTTATTCTTTACTGTTCTCATCTAAATTCTAACATCCACATGGGATACAGTAAAATCCAACAGTTTTACCAAGATGTGAATCTCCTTTTGATGAAGATTGAGATATATGTGGTGATTCTTTCTCCTCTGCTGCTTTCCTCTTTCCTTGAGGCTTGTATGGAGTCAGCGTTTTACAACTGCTTGGGAATTTCTTTGCCCTGCGATGCCTGCTAAGGTCCATATCTGGAAAAAAGGAAAATACCAGAGACTAGGTGAGATGCCTGCCTGGATCTCAAGAATCATTGTCTAAGAAAACTGAAGACAATACTCATTTCCATAGGCGTGTAGTATTATACAGCAACACATACAAGCTACCAGGGATGTCTTTTGTAAGCAGGTGTTATCAAACAACAACACAGTGTTTTCCCTCCAGCAGCCATTTTAAATATGAAGAAATCTGTTTTGTCTTCAAATAGGTTTAGCAAGTTGCTTGTGACTGGAAACTTTAAAGAAAGAAGGAAACACACATACACAAAGATATATAAAGGGTTAATTCCCAGCGCCATAACTAGCCATTTCGAGACTTGGGTCAAGCAGCACACTCTCCCACTCCTTTTGCCATCAGCATGGGTGCAAGACCCCCCATGAAAAAGGAGGAGAATTTGGTACTCACCCCAAAACAAAGGAAAAAATTGAAAGCAAACAGGGTCGGAGGTATTGCTGTTTATTTTCCTAACACTCACCAGTTGATTCACCCCTAGATTTTGTGCCCCCTAAATGTTAGTGCCCTGGGATATAGCCTCAGTTGTCTTACCCTAGTTATAGTTCTGTTGATTCCAGATCAAGTTGTGTGAATTTAAGATCTACTTAAATCCCATTTAAAACCCATTAACTTCAAATAATTTAGTTTTGATCCAATACATGAGTTTTTACAGCTGAAGTACACACATTCCCTATAATTTGCCTTTAAGGGTTACCTCTGTTTCTTTAAGGCTATGAGGATCTTTGCTAATACCTTTAGGAAAGCTGTTTCGAATGCACTGGAGCTTGGAATACCTCTCCATGTTATAATTCTTGAAGAGGACCCTCCAGAAGTCCTGGATGGCAGGTAAATCCTGGTTCAACAACCATGTCAACATGGCATGAAAAGCCTTGTGGCAGCCTTCTTTTTCTGTCAGACAGAGAGTGTCCTTCAAGAAGAAATAAAAGGGAGACAAACAAAGCAAATTTAACCTCAGAAGTGATTCAAAGGATGCCCTAATAAACTAAAAACATACACTTCAGAGATATTTGCCTTCCTCAGGAGACAGAAACTGAAGCTACACTGGAAGTCTCAACATCCCAGCTCCATGTGGTGGAAACAGGTACGGTCTTGGATTTGTTTTATAGATGTAAAATCTGATGCTACAGTACACCACTCAAGATCAACCTATGATGAAATTACCAAATAAAAACTCAAGGGATTTTTTTAAAGCTAAAAAGTTGGACATGGGCTGTACACTGATTTTATATAAACTAAATGTGCAGTGTATATCTTATTGCATTAACAAATAGAGGTCGGAAGTTCACTATGCCTCCTGGGAGATGAGCCAGTCTCTTCCAGATGAACTTTGGCAAGCTGCACAGTCCCAGGATGCCTTCAGAAAAAGGGAATGGTAAACCACTTCTGAGTAATCGCTACCTAGAAAACCTGGTAGAGGGTCACCATAAGGAATCAACTTAATGACACATAATTATTACTATTAATTAAAAAATTATATACACACCACTGAAAAATGTAGAAATATTTCAGAACTATCAACTATTGAATTAAATGGTTCAGAATTATTTTTCTTTCTCACCTTGAACATCTCTTCAGTGACAACATCATAATCTGCAAGTCCATGAAGTAATGGAAATACATCATCCACAGCCATAGAAATCTCTGTACGATAAAGCTTCAGCAATTTCCGCAGGTCCCCCTCTCCCAGTAATTTGTCAGAGCTAATCATCCTGGGACAAACTGCGATATTCAGCATTCAGGAGCCAAATAATTGAGTATCCATCTGTTGGGGTCATTTTTTGTCAGATGGCATTCGTCAACATTTACTAAAGACACCTTGCAAATAAATTAAGTTTTTGTCTCAATTGAAGCAAACCTAATAAAGACAATGGGATTTACATCAGGGATGACTAACAAGCCCCATTAATTTAAATGGGCCTACTCTAGTTAGGAGTAACACTGGACGAATGCCTTAATATCTATATTACTCTTGATGTTTAGATACAGAGACTGCAATAGTAAAAGCCCCCCAGAAAAATAAGCAATATTCTGAGAGTTTAAAATCTACGCTGTCCACCCATCTGTCCTTAAAATTTCAAATCTGCAAGTACAGCTTCAAAAAAGAAATCCATATATATATATATACTGTATATATATAATTGTCATGCCTCTCTTCACTAAACACTAAGTGCTCAGTTTTCATTTATTTTGCCCACTCTGCCTTGACTAACAAATGAGGGAAGAAGCACAATTCCCCTTACCTGTCATGTCTCAGACACAATATTGTATCTGTTTTCTGCAGTTCCTTGTGCTCTTTATACTGCGCAATCTGTGGAATAAGATGGGGGCGAGGTGGGTGGCGTAACTAAGAATACTTAGTGAGTAAAATGAAGAGAATCTCAGCAAAGAATCTCTGATTAATCTGGGAAATTGATGTTATCTCCAATTAAACCTATTTGGCTAGCTTTATCTGAATGTTTTTGAAACAGCGTCCCTCCATGCTCTACAATATTGTCTTACATGATTGGAAAACTGAAGAGTGCATTTGGGAAGTACTGTACTTTTTCAGATGCCATGTTCCATACACTTAGTGCAACAGTGCTCTCAGTCAGCATTTGAGCTATGTATATGCTTTAGAAGACAGTACCATGTGAAGAAATGACCATACTCACCTACATACTTGTTCTAAGGAATAATGACATACTGTTGTTCACATAAGATTTGCGTATCTTGTTGTAATTAACAGTAACTAGTTGACAAGATACAAGGGTGCATCTCAGTTGGGCATGTGAACAGGGACATGACTGAGATGTGCCCTGAAAACCTGTCAACTAGGTGCAATAAGCCACAACAAGTCACACACACCTTATGCGAACACCAGTATGATTCTAGCTAACACAAACCAGCAGGTTGATTGCAGCTCACAAGTATTTAGATAAAAATACCCAACTCTCCTGTTAGGCCTTCAGAGAAACTGGGAACAACTAGATATTAAGTGTTATATAACATAACAGATTAGGGTTACTCAACTCCTGTTTTTAATTTTTTTTTTAACAGAACCTAAGAACCACAATGGCTTCATGGGACCAAACACTTTTTAAAAATCATTCTGGAGTCATGGCACTATTAGAAACTTTGAAACTAAAGTTTCAAAGAATTTGAGACTTCTGTATGGAACCATAGAAAGATTTGCCAGTTCAAACCAAATCTGATCTAAATACAGTACAGTATTCTGTTCACACAGTGACCAACCAGTTGCCTATGAAAGGCCCACACAAAAAATGTGAGTAAAACTCTATTTGGCCTTTTGGATGTTACGAACATAGAAGGGATGATCAAGGCCTAGCCTTCCTCTGAAACGAAACTTTGGTTCACAATCCCCATGATGGCATAAAGAAGACATAAAGAAAATAATGGAATGGTGTCCTTGAACATAATCATTAAATACATGATAAAAAGTATATGCCAAACTCCTTTCATCGGAATTAATGAAGACTCTGTGTATGTGTGCATGTTTCTCAACTTTGGCAAAATATTTTTGAATTTAAAAATAAAACTTTTCCTGGAAAATCTTTTCAAAAATCTGCTGAAACTAACAGAGGATGTGTAAGTTAATTAGACTGGACAGGTTGCTAGACCAAGTTGGGGTTTAATATTTAATACTTCTGCTTTCACTGCCTTTTACAATATGTTGTAAGTGCTTCAGTTGCTATGTTTAATCATATTACTATTATTTTGAATACATTTATTTCCACTGTTTTATGAACATTTGGAACTTTTCATCACCATGTCTTATTTCAATATATTTTGAGATTATTTTTGGTGTGATTCCAGTTTAATGCTCATTTGCCACAACCTCTTTGAAACAAAATAAAATAGTGGAAACAAAGGATTTTTTTTTCAGATGATTCCCAGGAAGCAGTCATGTTAGAATCCAGTAGATTCTGGGCAGAGTCACAGCACTATCTGCCATAGCGCATCTGACTTCTAACAGAATCTGGTGGATAATCAGCAAAATCTGTAAAAATCTACATTTTCTTGTCATTTTAGAACTTTTTTGAACTCTACTGTTTCTTATATATATATGACACTTTTCTCTGAATAAGTTCAAAGCATTGTACATGGCTTGCTTTCCCATTTGTCCTCACAACAACCTAGTGAATTAGATCATACAGTGGTACCTTGACTTACGAACATCCTGACATACGACTATTTCAAGTTGAGACCAGCTCTGGCCACAAAATTTTCTTCAACTTGCAGCCGGAGCTTCACGTTGCAAACAAAAGAGGCAGGGGGAAAAGGCAGTGAATTCAAATTAGAGGGCTAACCGTTGGTTGGCGAAGAGCTTCTTTGTAGCTTTTTCGCCTCAACGGTTAGTGTGCGCGCGTTTGCAGAGAGGCTTCGGACTGCCTGGTGCTGCTTTCTGCTTCTGGGTGAGTACATTTAGAGGGTTTTGCAGGGTGGGTTTGGGTTTGGGGGGTTATGTTTCTGTGCTATGATTATTATTATTTTTGTTTGTTTGTTTTTGATGTGTGTTTTTCCCAGCCCCATCACGTTATGATGGAGCTGGCTGTGTGTGTGTGTGTGGGTGGGTGTTTTTCATTTCCCCCCCAGCCCCATGGCATTCTGATGCGGATGGCTGTTGGGTGTGTGTGTGTGTGTGTGTTTGATTTTTCCCCCCAGCCCCATTGTGTTCCAATGGAGCTGGCTGTGGGGGGGGGTTTGATTTCCCCCCCAGCTCCATGCCGTTCTGATGGGGCTTCCAGTGTTTTGTGTGTGTGTGTGTGTGTGTGTTTTCTTTTCTTTCTTTTCTTTTTTCTTTCTTTTTCTTTTGGTTATTATTCTTTTTGTCTGGAACGGATTAATCGCGTTCCAATGCATTTCTATGGGAAATGGTGCTTTGACTTACAACCATTTCGAGTTACGCCCATCTTCTGGCACGGATTATGGTTGTAAGTCAAGGCACCACTATACTAAGAAACCACAAGTGGCCCAAAGTCAGCCAATGATTTCCAGGGCTGGAGATTTGACTCAGTTCTCCCAAGACCTAGACCAACACCTTGACCGCTATACCACACGTAGACAAATACATTTCTCCCAATTTTGACAAATCCTGCTCCCTTGACTCAGGTTGCAGTCACAATAGCCAGAAGAATCACATTTTATCATTATTAAATCAATGTAAAAGTTGCCAGGCACATGACACACATGTAAAATTGATTTATCTGGCTATGAAAGCAAGTCCTTTCAACCTGGCCCACAGGCACTTTTTAAAGTAACTTGATCCCTAATTTGCTTTGATTTTGTTTGTTTGTTTGTTTGTTTGACTTCCATACCACCCATCTGGCAAAAGGCCTCTCTGGGCAGTTAACATTGAAAATAATAATAACAACAAGAGTGAAAACAGCAACATGGTTAAAAATCAAAATAACAAAATTAACAGTGCATTTAAATACATTAAAAATTATGAAATCGGCAGCAGTTAAGACAAGTCAGTGGCTAATAGGTTCAGTGGTCTCCTCAGATAGAATATTTCAGAAACCCTGCCAAAATAGCTGAGTTTTTAATGATTTCTTAAAAGTTGCAAGAAAGACAGCCAGGTGGATTTCAGGTGCTAATTTGTTCGAAAGTTGATGAACCACTGCCAAGAAGGCCCTGTTCCTTGTTCTTTCCCTTTGGGCCTCCCTTGGGGTTAGCATCCTCAACCATCCTGTCTGAGATGCAAGAGCGAGATGGGCAGTCCTGGTTGAAAGTACAGTGGTGCCTCGCAAGACAAGCACTTCGTTTTATGACGAAATCGCATAACAACAAAGTTTTTGCGATTACAAAAGCGATCGCAAAATGATGTTTCCTATGGGGTTTTTTTGCTTTGCGATGATCAGTTCCCTGCTTCAGGAACCGATTATCACAAAACGATGATTTTCGCACAGCTGATCGGCGGTTTCAAAATGGCCGCCGGGTTTAAAAAAAAAAAAGGCCGCCCGCTGTTTTCTGGGACGGATTCCTCGCTGCACGGGCAGCGAAAATGGCCGCGCTATGGAGGATCTTTGCTGGACGGTGAGTTTCAAGCCCATAGGAACGCATTAATCGGGTTTTAATGCGTTTCTGTGGGCTTTTTAAAATCACTTTATGATGTTTTCGTTCTACAGCGATTTCGCTGGAACGAATTAACATTGTAATGCGAGGCACCACTGTATGCATTCTGTCATGCACTGAGTCTCAAACAATTTAGGGCTTTATATCAGCATCTTGAAGCTGATAGAGAAATGGACCAGTAACCAATGTAAGGCAGCCAGAATTGGAGAGGTATGTTATTTGTTAACTCTCTTCACTAGCTTGGCCACCATGTTCTGGACCTGTTGAAGTTTCTGTTATCAGTCTCATGGGCAACCCCACATAAAGGTCATTACGTAAAGACCACTGCAATAGTCTACTCTTGAGACTACCAGTGCAGGGACCAACGAGGTGAGGGGCCTGGTATCAAGGCAGGGGATGCAGCTGAGAAATCCACCTAAGGTGGAAATAGGCAGACTGGACCACAGATGCCATCTAGGTGTCCATTGAAAGTGCTGAGTTCAGAAGGATACCAAATCTGGGAACCTCATCCTTAGCAGGAAGAGTACCCCCCCCCAAAGACAGGAAAGCTCCCAATCTGGTGACAGAAATAGGACCCACCCAATTCATTTTGTCCATGTTCCTGTCAAATTAATATCTGCCTCAAAAGGTGGT